CTAGATTTTGTCAATTACATCAAAAAATAAACACAAATTATTAAGCGAATACCTGTTTAGGTAAATAAAAGAACAAAAGAAGGTCCTCGGATTTTGGTCTTTGTAAAGGATGGAGTAGAAGGCGACCGAAAAATTACCATAAAATTAGATTTTCTACATCAGTGCATTTTGATTGGATTTGCTGTGAAAAACTGGTCACGACATTTCTTTTGTTTACTGAAGGATGTGTTCCATGAGAGTAAACCGTTTCCTGCTGATAACACTGCTACCTGTATACAACTAGCTGATCCCCCTCTGTCCGACAGAAACACAGGCCCATCCGACCAAGAAGTGAAATAAATATTTAGTCATTATATTTCAGATCCCACACGAAATCCAGGAAAAAAGTATGATCCTCAAGTGTCCCCACAAACCCCCTTGGACCAACATCACAGAAATTATACCCACCAGGGGGCAGCATGTTGCAGTGACATTCAGGTTCGGTTTCCTCCGTCCTGATCTAGTCTTTGTCAGTGCTGGATATCCCCTGGGGAAGGAATGTTCGAACATCTCCAACCCTTCATTTCACGCTTCATTTACCATCACGCTCTCCCAAAACACTAACTCTGCATCTGAGTGAGTGGATGCGAGCAAACTCGGGGTTGATCTTTCATTCCATTTACATACTCTTTGTCCTACTCTTTCCCCTATGTATGTACTCTCTTATCCATTCATAATCCAGACACATTCATGCTTAAAAGGTAATTAGTGGTAAATCAGTGAAAAGTTTATATCTTGATAAATCAGTTGTTGTTCTTCAAGGGCTGAATGGACCAAAATTCTGATAGGCTGCAAATTGGAGTTTCACACGCACACATGCACACAGATACTAAGCCTCTAACTCTTGTTTTACCTCTAAAGTCAATACAATTATCTCTTTCCTTTCTCTGCAAGTATATCCAATATATGAAAATTGCTAGGAGTCATGCAGTAAATGTGTGTGTCTGTGTGAGAAGGGAGGTAGTTATTAGAGATACTGTATCTCATAAAGCCTCTGTAGTATTTATATAAACTCCTCTCTCCTGTTACAGTGCAGGGCGTTTTACAGTCAGCAATTGCTTTTTGTTTATAGTAACAAAACTGCTTAGATTTTTGCTATGAAAAAACAAAATGTATAGAAAGCACAACTGTGATGTTGGTACTACATACTGTGGTAATATGTGTACAGTTTTGGTTGAATTATTTGCGTTCTCCACTCACAGAAAGTGAACCAAAAGCATCCAACAGAAACAGAATATTTAAGTTCATTAAAAGTCAACACAAGATCATTTTTTTCCAGATGGGAGCTGAAATTCAAACAACGCCCATCAGACAGTAAATTGGCTTTTGGAGCTGAGCCGGTGATGAAATATCTGTTCAGAGACACAGGTTTGAAGTTACACACACACATACACAGCAGAAAGCACACAATTCAGTCTTGACGTGTAATAGCTTTTAAGCACGGCAAGGCATTGAGTTGCATCACCACCAGCAGTTGGAATGGATGGGCATTATCATCTCACACACACACAAACATGGTGGTAGGTAGGTATGAATAGATGGTCTGTGTCAGGTTGGTGAGATTGGTTCCATCTGGTGTGGAGAAGGTTGCAGGGTTGCATCCCTCCTATTACCTCTGTTTCTATCCAATGACACTTTGTTCACCTGAAGGTAGGTCTGTGTGATGAATGGAGCCAATCTGAGCAGATAGATAGATAGATAGATAGATAGATAGATAGATAGATAGATAGATATCACGTTTTTTTCTAATATGTCCATGATTTAAACATTTTCTTTCCTAAATTTCCAAAACAGTTGGATGTAATTGTCCTTAAAGAAAATAACAATCAAGCATGGAATACATTTTTTTATCCTAATGGCAACGGGAATTTTTTTAATCAAACAACTAAAATAATAGTTTATTGTACTTATGTCAGTTTTTCTGGTGGATAAATTTTCTACTGTGATGGTGGAGAAAAAGGTGGATCTTCTGTCAGACCGACAGAATGAGTGAATACCTATCAATCTGGGACCACAGAGCAGTACCAACCAGATCGAAGAGGAGCCCGACAAGAAGCGGGAAGACAAGAAAGAGCAGAAGAGAGATAGGAGCAGAAAGGACAGGAAAATGAAGAGAAGGACAGAGAGGAGATGGTGAATATGCCTACTGAAAGGACAATCATTGTCTATCAGCATGAAGAATTACCTTTCTTTCTGTCCCTTCTGCCTTCATGTGAGTGCCCATACACACACAGAGAAACATGTTGACCTGCAAGGGAACACTGATTGAATCTTCTCTGGGATTAACAGGGATTTAGCCCAGTGTAATGATATCTGAATGAGTTGATTAGCTATCTGATGACACTTTGCTGTTTGACCTCTACAGTGCAATAACCACTGGTAAACTCACCACATTTACTCAGGCTGCATCCAAATGACAGCAGAAAAAGAAGTACCGTTGGCCTCCTTGAGGCAGCGATCAGTGTTTTTTCTCCGCTAAATGAACCATGAAACTGTGACACTGTGTGGGCTGCCACGGCATGATCAGTTCTGGTTAAAAGTTGGTTTTCATGTGGTTTGACCCTGTTAAGACAGTGACAAATCACAAAAGCAGCAGCAAAGTACAGCAGTGGAGATGGTGAAGGGCAAAAGCATTCAAAAAAGGCAAAGGAAAAAAGTAGCCAATAAAGATAGCAGCACCCAAGAAAAAAAATGTGATGCTTGACACCATAATCTGAGTGGGGGGAAAACACAAAGGATGACTTAGAAGGACGATAGCTTTTGGTAATGCACTTTCTTACCCATTTCTGGATAAAGAGAGTCCACTGAATCAATTTTTAAAGTGTAAATAAATGTATGGAAGTATTTCAAATGTGGGTACACTTAGAAAATTAGGGCATTTGACGCATTTTCCACAGCTAGAAGCACTGTAGTTTATTTCAGTGTGCCAGGACATTAGCACTTGCCATGATCCAACGACAGAAAGGAATCATTTGTGAAGTTCCTCCAGGCTATAATTGACTGCAATGTCTGACTTCATGACTTTCTGATTAATGTACGTTCCATATTCCAAATTTCTAAATGAACCACAACAGTTCTCTCTGAGAAAATCTAGTTTTACGATCGGTGATGGATTGGCAACCTGTTCAGGGTGTACCCTGCCTTTCACCCATGGACAGCTGGGATGGGCTCTGGACCACTGCTTGGAATAAGAAAATAAAAATAGATGGATGCTACATTTTTGCTTTTCTTGTATATCTACCAACTTAATGATTATTCAGAAAATAATCACATCGCGTCTGTCATTTGTCTGATTTGCTGTCAAATTAATGTTCCATCAGAACTGACCTTCACACTGAACAGAATAAAACTGTTTAGTTTGTGTTGAAAAGGTTCAACACACTGCTTTGTCTGTTCCTGTAGGTCAAAAACATAAATAAGAGAGCTCCCCTGCAGGCACAGCATGCAATGGAGATGGTCTATAGATCAGCTAACCAGAGCTGGTAGTCCATTTCACAGACTTGACATTTGAGGGTGAATTTCTTTTCGTTATACAGTACTTTAAGAATATGTATGATGATGTATCTGGTGATTAGTGTTGTCTACCTTCTGTCACTGTGTTTCCTTCTGTGTTAAGTAAAGCTAATCCCAATGACCAAGAAGCAACTATAAGTTCAAACACAAGCAAAAGCAGTGCTGGCAAAAACCGCATGTACAGTACTGAGAGGTGAAAGCATTAAATTGCGCCAATACTATAAATGATTATCAAAAACCCAAAGGCAAACCGGTTATAAATTAACTCCTCTGGCATCGCTGTGTCTTCACCGTGTTGCAGAAACTTTCGGGAGTTCAGCAAAGTCAGTCCAAGAAAACAAAATCAGCTGAAGGGGCTAATTGATTTCAGGTTAGCAGGTGTGTGCATTATGATGACTCTTGAGCAATGCACCAGGTGCCAAATCCTCCATCAAAGCAGGATGAGCCTCTTTTGCACATCACAATCAATTTCATAATGATGGTTATCACATGATTGAGATGTTTGCCTAAATTGCTCGCATCCATTTCCATGTCCATGCTAAAATGAGTAATAATTGTCATCAGCCTGCTGCAATCAGCAATGCTGTACATTTAGACTTCTGCGTTTTAATAATCTCTGTGTCTTAAATGAGGACCATGCTTTCTACTGTCAGTTTTGATCATATGTGTCTTTCTTTTAAATCACTTTAAGTTGATTTGTCAAATGTAGTCCTTTTAGCTTGTATTTTTCAATCAACAATGAGTCTAGGAGCAGTCACAAGAGAGAATGGACAACTACAACAAACAAACAAAACAAACAAGTCTCAGGTGTGATCTTTTTTGCCTCATTATGGGACCCCAAAACACACTCAAAACACTCAGCAGTGTTTGGAATATTAGAGGGAGAGAGTGGGCAGGGCTCTGGCGCAACCAGGTGGTGATAAGGTGCAGTTGCAAAGACTGGCATGCCTGCAGGATTTTTCCTCTGCAAGACAGAATCTGATGGAGGAAAAACTCATAAGACTTAGGGGAAAGGCAAAAAGCCAAAAGATACATGTGCAAGTAAGCGTAAATAACCTCAAATTGAACTGCTGGAGACTATAGACCCTTACCCTTACCTAAGGACAAACCATACACAGCAATAGAGCCTTACATTTGAGCACACCTGCTGCCACACACACATACACACACTCTACTTGACTGTATGCTGGGGTTGTAGAAAACCCTAACGCTGTTCATTAATCACTCTGTTGAGGTTTTGATGTCACAGCAGGAACAGAAATGCTGGTTTGACTTGAATAGATATACCATAGTGCCCTAATCAGCATCACCAGAGTTCAGAGCTGAAGGAGGTAACTGTTGACGGGGATGACTGGTCATCTGCACAAAAAGGAACAGCTTGCAAAAAAGTGTTTTGTTTTGTTTTTTCATTTTTCTGGATGACAAATGAAACTTTGTGAGGAATAATGTTCGGGAGGTTTTATTTTTTTAATTAAACAGAACCTTTAAGATCCTACTACAATGAAATGTGTGTGTGTGTGGGGGGGGTAATGGACAAAACTGAAACTCAGACATTGGTTTTTTTATCTGTCTCAATTATTGATCAACAGTGAACCTTCATACAAAAAAAATAATAAAAACTTTTAACAGACCCCGCATGAAGAACAACCTAAGACAAATGAAAACTCCAATCCAAGTTTGTCCAAATAAAAAATGAATCAATTCACACAATTCAGGCTGAACATATTGTATAAAAGATGATATACAGCGTTAATAAATGTATACCTCGCTATGACTTGACAATGAAGAAGTAAGTGCATGTCAAGCATGTTAATTCATGAGAAGAAGTATGAAAATTCTTCTGGAAAACAATTTAAGGGATTTTTTCTTTTAAACTTTACAAAATCCTAAGAACTAGCTGGAATAACATTAAAGCGACCAGATTCTGATTAACTGTCTGATGGAAACGTGTTAAACAGATAAACTGCACTAAGTATGTTTTCTAAATGAGATTTTTTTTTTAAACGCCAATGTCTCTCTTTTTTACTTCTGAGACATTTCTGACTACATTATTATTAAAAACTTATTTTATAGCAGCAGTGCAAATGTTCCTCAGTGAGCCTTTGAGCTCTTGCTGCCATTGTTCCAGAAGTGCTGAAAGCTGAGCTGACTCTGAGCAGTCTGAACTCCATTGCTGGTCGCCTCTTCCACTGAGGTGATTTTAAATCCTGTTTGAACCCGTTTCAGATTTTCTTAATTCTCATGGTACGATGCACGTTGCCTTTCGAAGGGTCAGGTAACCTGTAACAACATCGGTGGGGAGGAGACGGATGTAGGAGAACTCCTCAGATGATGTGAAGCGGAGCTTCGTCTGAGGGTCTGTGTAGTTTGCCTGGGAAAGACAAAAATAAGTTATTCATCCATTTTTCCTTTAAGCAACTCTAAGCTACAGCTCAACTGATCACTCACTGGTAGACCAGAGATGTCTGAGTATTTCTTGGCTGGCCTCAGAGATGGAGGAGCATCAATATTGTAGTCTAAAAACGGAGAAAGGTCAAACATTCAAATGCAGGTTGTAATGGTAATATTTCAGGGACTTAATCAACATACAGACCTCTCACTGCAGACTTATTTGTGAAATGATAATATTGTACAGTTTTGGCATGTGTCAGAGAAGAGCAAAGATCAGTATTTAAGGTGTGACTTACTATTCTTAAAAAGAACACCCTTATATTAGCCAACATTTGATTTCAAATTTTGGGAGGGAAAAAAATCTTATCAATATTCTGTCATTGTTATTTTTACACCAATGTGTGCAGGTTCGGTTTTCAAAATGCAGCTAATTTTTTTATTAGAAAACCTTATTTATCATGTGAAGAGAAGCCCCAGAAACTCACAGTTGGGATCACTGAGCTTCCAGGGTAAAGTCCGCTCTAAAGCTAGAATCTGTTTGAGGTTCTTCCAGGTCCTGTTCTTTTTGCCTGCTGCTGCTCCACCAATCCCAGAGTGCTGCCAAAATAAGGTTAAAACAAGGAGAAAAAAAAGAAACAAAAAGTAAACAGAAAATGGCCAAATAACCACGGTAGATAGATGTAAACTCCAGGTGGAGGCATGCTCTCACCATAAATAACTGGTCTTTGAAGGGTGGAGGCTTTACGGAGGACTCTGTGCTGTTTGGACAACTGTCTGTGGGACCTGCTGGCTTTAACTCAGCCACCGTCTCAACTGCTGACACCTGAGGAAACACGGGTTTGATTTTCAGCTGAATATTTACTATGTGATGGAGGTGTAATAAATCCTGTGGAGCATATCTGGTTATGGCTTTAATATGTATATATGTAGATTTGTTAAAGAACACATGCACCATGTTATAATAACGGTATTTCCATATGCACCGTTTAGATCGTTGGTCCCAACAGAAGATAATAACCTAGGTGAAACGACACAAAGACGGACTTTACCTGTGCTTGTGTGGTCGGTGGCACCGGCAGAGGTCCTTTCTTCTTCTTGCTGCCGCTGCTCCCGCCGGTCTGTGGAGCTACTGCTGAGACCGCCGGACTACCAGGACGTTTCTTTCCCCGAAAAGCGGCAGCACCGGTTGCTGCCGGCTGCGTCTTCACAGTTAGAGGTATTTGAGACGCCATTTCAATCGATAATGCGGAAAACGGAAATAAACTGTGCAGCTTTTCTCCGCTTGTCTCTCTTTAACTCATCATACTGAGTGTAAACAGATTCTGACCCGGATATAGAACAGATTCACTTCCGGTAATTTACGAACTAATTTACTGGAGTTGAAGATTATTTACCAACTTTCAATAAATGTATTTAAATTACATCTAATAAATAACATATGAAATAAATCACGGAACAATAAAACGTTAAAAAATACTTTTTGTCGTTATCAAAGTCAAGCGGACTTTATTTTGACTCTGGTGTCAGCTAAATATTTTTTCTCATTAGTATGAGCTTTAATCATCATTTGGCTTATATAAATAGTCTTTGTAAGTGTAGGAAAACTACACTTCAACATTTTGATAACTAAACTTTGAAAACACAGTTTTCAAAGTCTTTTTTATTACCAATTTACTTACTATCCACAGAGTGTATTAAATCTGCTCCTTCTACTTGTCCAGTGCTTTGTAGTGTAAACTGCTAGATGTGCTTGTTTTGAAAGACAGACAGACAAATATTGGTGAATATTAAATTAGCAGCATTCTTACTGATGTTACAAATTTTATCATTTTTGTTACATCAGCAAGGATGATTATATCATTATTGTGTCTGGAAATATTTAAGATGTCCTTTTAAATAACATTTTATAGCATGATTAACCGGAGGAGTGTGGATATGAGTGAACCTAGTTGGTATAATCAGATCTTTTAGAAACTGCAGTGAATTTCAGTGAAGAATGGAAAACACTAAGAAAAGTAAGAATTAATAAAGGCAATTACAGGACCTCATTGATTTTCCAGTTGTTCACAGGATGCTAATCACTGGCCAAGGGTGGGGTACACCCTACTTGAGCAATTTTCCATTCAGTTCACAGAATAAGAGAAAAACATTATATTTTTCTTTCATTCATTGTCCCACTTATTCCTTGTAGGTTCACGGGATAAAGTAACAAAATAGCTTTCAATAAAAGCTAATGCTTTTGAAACCAGTGGGAGCATGAGCGAAACCCTACAAATGGAATTATGCTGCCATCTTGTGTTTATGAGACGTTTTACACTGACATCAACCTGTGTTTATTAAACAAAAGCTTGCTTTACAGATACCTTGATTTTATTTAAGTGATCAACAATTATCGTCATGGGAGAAATCCTTAAGAAATGTGTTTTCATTTACTTTTTGTTTTTAAATTTGTACCTCTTGTTGATTTCCAAGTTTGGATTTTTTTTAATTTTTTTTTTATCTCAAATCACTGACTTCAAAATATACACTACCATGAATATTTCTCAAAGGGATAGCAGTTGTGCATGTGGAATGTTTTTTTTTCTTTTTTTCTTTTTCAACAGGCAAAAGATAGACCTGAAGATCATGTTCTAAAAGACCAAAGAGGAATTACAAAAACATTTTTAAGCAGCCCTGATGAGAATGAAGCTCACAAAAAGGATTGTCCATTTTCTGCCTAAACTGTTTAGATCATCTTAGAGCCGATTAGCTGCCACCAAAAGTCTGCAGGCCTTTCCTCTGGCTATGCTATGGTATTTTAGAGTAAAATGCCATTCCTTTGGAGATACACTGTTATTCTATTGTCACTCATTCACGGTGTTTCACACTGACACCTTTGAGAGAGAGTGCCTTTAGCTAATCCATCTGTCTGTGCTGGTCCACTTGGGAAGAACTTTCCCCCACACCACATGATCTACCCACTCCAAATTCAACACAGTCAATCCCGGGCTGGTGAGCAGAACATCACAAGCTTTGGGATGCTACTATACATGTGAAGGAGTATCTCAGGCTAAGGCAGGAAAGCATCCATTGCTTTCAAGTCCTAATACCACCCAGAGGAGAGCTCTCGAAGGAGAAAGGCTGTAACAGCGGAAAGCCTCTATAAATGTCTCATCCATTTTTCAGACTACTGCTGCTAATCATAAAAATAAAGTATATCTAGAGATTCTGCTTAAGCTCAATTTGAGACATATATAAATTTTTGATGGGAAAAGTTGTGACAATAAGCTGTAACAGAGTGGGTACTGAACCTTTTCAGCCACTTCATACAAACTACTTTATAAAGTTAGAGGGGCAGGATGATTATGACATTACATTGTCCAAAATACTGTTCTAAACTGCCCCCTTGCTACAGAAAAGCAATGGAAATTAAATGAAATGCGCATTTATTCAAACATTCTGCCAGTGAGTTGTCAGAGTACATTATATAAGCCAGTTGGTAGAGATTTCTATGGATGGCATGAGTGAGCCCAGCCTGGAGCAAATGTTATTGAACCGAGTCAGGAGGCCTTTGACTGGTGCCGAATCTCTGTTGATAATTGTAATGGGAACAGGTCGATGTTTTTTGTGCGCAGGCATGGGCATGCATCCTGCCTGAACTTTGCGTTGTCTGAAATGTTCTGGTCTTAATTTGAACTTGTGTTTTATAAGTGTAGCCTGTGAGCAGGAACTTTAAAGAGGGCCAGTCTTTATCAACAGACAAGTGTATTGTATTTGATTAAATGTATTTGATTAAAAAATTATGCTGCACAGAATTAAAAGAATAAAAGTAAAATAGGTTTTCTGTGACCAAGTAGAGTCTGACAACAATACGCTGACACACACCACTTTGCTTGTTCAACAAAAAAAAAGAAAGAAAAGTGGACTGGTGCCATTTTCTTCAGCTGATATATTTGGTAGCTTTAATTTCTCACTAAATTGCATCAAGGACTATGGCGACAATGGAAGTTAGAATTTAGCAGCCTTGGGAACGAGTTAATCAGCTGGTATCAGCAACAAAAAAGAGCCCACTGAGTCAGGTAGCTAGCTCTGCCTGGCACTGAGCATTCCCTGGTGAATCTCTCTTTCGGGTAATAAATTGTGACAAAAAGAGGTCACGCTTGCAGACACGACATCTAAGCACTCCCCTGATGGAGCAGGTAATAGCAGGGAATACTGCTGACATCTTATTTATAGCCTTTCTTGTAACTGAGCTTTTACCATTTGCCATAAACAACTCCACTTTTCTTTGTGGTTGAAAAGATGAGCTAATTCACTTCTCTCTACTATAACTTCTTTTTCCAGTCCAGTTTTTATCCTCGGTGTGTAGCCATAAATGCCAAGTGTTTAGCTGACTCTGAGTTCTGATTGGATTGATGGTTTGTTTGCAAGTAGTGGCCCATAAAAGTTATGGCCCTTAGGATCTTGTAGAGTTTCTCATGAGATTCAATGGTGCTTTCATGGCTTATTTGTACATATTCTAACAAAAAGCTTTACTCTAAAAAATTAAGTCTGTGTTTCCGTTTGTAAATTAGTTCATTCAGATTTTTGGAATATGAAGTAACTCCTCTTCTTTCATTTGTCTCAATTTCCCTGAGGAAGTTTAATGTGAAAAAGGGCAACATTTACACATTTTACAAACGTGTATATTTACATGAACAAAACTAAGGAATCTAAATAGATCATCCTTCCCTTCTTGAATTTTAGTTACCCTCTCTGAGCACCATATTGCTTTTTTATGCCATTTTCAAATATGTAATGTCAATGTTAATACCAGTATAAAACATTCATCATTTCACTGCAGAAAGTTCCTGGGGAAATTGTTCTGCAAACTGGCCAAGGATCTCTGACCTGTTGTTTAAATCCCTAATTGTCCTACAATTATATCTGATTCCCCCCCCCCCTTTCAGTCATTAACATTTTAATGTTAATCTATGTTACTCATACATCTTGATTATCTCATCTTAGCCGAACCCTGATTCCGTGGACTCTTTGCAAAACGTGGACTGAACTAAAGTCGTGAATAAATGCGCATTTGCTGTTCTTAAGGCCGGCGCGGCGCTGGGGATGGGTCATTTCCCCGCTACATAACGGAGCATGGGGTCCGTTTGCGAATTTCTTCCGGGTTGGGGTATTTGAGAGGGAGGGATGAGCAGAGATGCTGGCTGTGTTTGCGCTGCACATCAGCAGCCTGGCTCCTGCTCCTCACTCAGACGGACAGCGGCGGAGGCAGCACGTCCGCCCGGAGCGACAGCTCTCACCGCATAGCGCTACCGCCGACCGAACCGTCCGCCACGCTCACGGCCGCCCCGGACGGATGTATCTCCTCTTTACTCTCGCTGACATTGGACCGTGCGTGTGACCGCGCTCATTGTGAGAAACCCTCCCGACTTCTTTGTACATTTTTAGGAAACTGTCGTATCTTGACGGCACGGAGGGAGCCACTATCCCCCCTCTCCCCCCCCCCCCCCCTTCGCCCCCCCCCCCACTCCATCGTTAGCGCGCTAAGCTAGCTAGCTAGCCCGCTAACTTAGCCGTGATAGTTTGAACGGTGTCGGCGTCAGATTTCTACCTCCTTGCTAGCCTGCGGTCCTCTGCGCCACACTGGCAGATTGAGGCGACCCCTGACTCCGGGTAAGTGAACTGTATATATGTAAAAAAAAAAAAAAAAACCTGCCAATGTTGTTGTTTTCCCGACCCCAGAGTGAACCGCTGGTCTGCCTCTGGACAGAGCCAGTAACGGGGTCTGGCGGCGGAACGCTGTGAGCAGAGAGGGCTGTTGTTGACAGAGGCAGCCGAGCAGCCGGGGATGTGATGCGAGCCACCGTTTTTTTTCCACCACGACTGTCACTCAGTTAATGCTCCTGCCCCATGACGATTCTTCAGTGAGATGGGAGGCTTTGTTGACTCCACTGCTCCGTAACTCTTTATTAAGCTCAACGTCTACCATCAACCTCGACTGGTGATTTGCAGGGTACCGCCGATCAGTCCTATCTCTTCTGCCACATTTGACTGCAGGTTTATCTCCCAACAGTGTATTCAAATGAGTGTCTGTTAACTGATAAGTCGACGCATGCAAAGAGATGTTAAGACAAGAGCATGTCCGTATTCAAAGTTGGCCATCGTGGTGTGTGTGTGTGTACTCTTCCTGGTAGTCATTTCCTCCCTTTTGTCCTTATTATTTGAGTGCTCTGTTGTCTCATCACAACCTGGAAAGATGAAGCGCAAACCTAGTGTGTTATCCCCCCGGCTGGTGTCTGTTCTGTCTCCTGTGTCTGTTAGAGGTCAGATGATTCAGCTTAGCTTGGCACAAATAGAGACAAAAACTAATGACCAGAATGACCCTGTTCCTC